AGGTTCTACATCTGAGAAAATACATTTTTTAACTTAGAGAAAGAGTAAGTTTTGCCTCTCTTTCTAATGGCCCTTGTATTTGATTTATTTTGACTTTATATGTCAGTAAATACTTTGCACCTCTTTTATTATAGTGTTTCCCCAAATCATTTCAGGGTACCACAGAGATGGATCTTGAGTGGTCTTTTAATAATATTACACCTTGGGAACAAAAACTAACTCTTACCTTGTGTAGCTTATACGTCAGTTGGGAAAATACATAGATGTTCAAAAATAAGAACGTACAGAAGTGTAAATTGACAAATTCTCTGAAGGAGAAGTACATGGTTCTACAAGGACTTGCAGGAAGGTTAGGGAAAGTAACAATCAAACCGAGGTAGGATTGGTGAGAAGATAAGCAACACCTTGGCAGAAGGTTAGCAGGCTGAAAGCGTTAGGCGAAATGCCAGCAAAGGAATAGCTTTTGAACACATGGCTGGAAAAGAGAATAAGAGAAGGAAAGTGGTTTGAAATAACATGATTGGAGTGGCGGGTAGGAGCCCGGCCATGGAGTCTTTGTAGACCTGTTAGGGACTTTTTACTTATCTTCAGAGTAATTGGGTTTTTGAAGAGTGGAGCTTGGCCATGGATATGGCATGAATATGTTTATTGATGTCATGATTTACATCATTCAACAACAATGTATTTTGTGTTGGGTTTTATGCAAACTCCTGGGTATACAAAGATGAATTAAGATAAAGTTCCTGCTGTGAGAATCCAACTTAATGTTTTAAATAGATACCACCTCACTGGTATTTAGGCCTTAAATAGTGTGAGCATTTCCCTTAAGTTTGTGATGAGCTCTAGTGGCAAGGTAAAAACTTCTTTCGAGAATTTTCACATTTCATTTAGTCATGAGAAATAATAACCCTGTGATGAAGGATTAACCTGATGATACAGGTGAGGAAGGCCAGGCTCAGAGTGAGTTTAAGTAAGTTGCCCAAGATCACATGCCTAGTAAGGGCTTGAACCAGTTGATTTTCCTTCTTTCAGACCCCAAGGCTTATCCTCTTAACCAGAGCTCCTCAGTTACAAAAGATTCAATAAGAAAGCAGCTAATTCAATGGCAGAAACATCACATTGCTCAGCATGTAGTAGTGATTATTTACTAATAACAGAAGTGAGACCTTGGGGTTTGGGCTATGTCTGCCACCATTTTTAGTTTTTTTCAGTTTAGTCAGTTCTCTTATCCACTCTGATAATTCTCTTCTTGTGGCTTTCACTCCCATGATCAGATTGCGGAAGAGTGGAGCCTGATAGTGTAATAGAAATGCTTCATTAATGGTTGGCAATTGCTAACATCACTTGGAAGCAATACTAAATAAGCTGTTACCCCTTAAATAAAAATCCGTGCATTGAAAGCTGTTATGTTTAGGATCTTGACATATTAAAAATTGGAATAGGTCTTTATAATATAACCTTGGGATCAGGATCTGGTTCTTTGGGAACTGAACTCGAAAATCAATGTGAAATTAATAATCTCTCTTTGGTTATAGGGAAAGTTGTAAATATATTACTATGGCTTCACTTTCTGAGCTTTTGATCAAAAAGGTTATAATCTTTGTAACCGACCTCTGGCATGATCATTGCTACAAGAGATGCGCCCATGTTTTCTAGGCATTTATGCCAGAGAGTTTAAGACATTTAGCAGTTTCTGTTATGGGTTTGAAATAAGTAGTTTTCATACGGCAGTGTTAAAAAATAAGTTTCTAACTGCATATTATATTCTTCAGAGTATATATTACATTGTTGTATGCATATATTACATTCAGGCTCTGTTACATTGCAGTAAGCATGGAAAAATACAAAGAAGACTTAAGTATCAATTGGGTATTTTAAGTAAATGATTTAACTTCAGATCATCATTATAATGCCCACCAACAAACCACACCTCATGCAGCTGCTGCCTGACGAACCTGTTACTCTGACATTCAGTACTGTTTTCTGTGCTCCCGTCACAAGTTCAGAGAGAGTATATTTTATTGCATGTTTCCTCGTGACAGCTGATCCCCATTTTAAAGTGGGCCTAGCCATAGATGATCCCAGCATCTGCTGGTTGGGTATGCACTATATTATTTCTCTGAATTTTGATCCACTGTCTTGTCAGCATAAAATTATGCAACTGTATAAGCATATTGCATAAAACTCTGCTGGAGCTTGTGAAACCTTATGTTAAGAAACAATATTGGAATGTAAATGAACATTTCTGGTTGATGAACTGTGAAGAGTCAATCCTCCAATTATAATTGTTGGGTGGATACAATATTTTAGCGAAATCTGTATGTAATCTGCATATGTTTTCAATCTAGTTTTACAAAACAGGATATGAAAATTTATAAGCATTCATTTCATTTGAAACATGATCCTGTGGCTCTTCCATCACTCCTTAAGATTTGATACATGTATTTAATATCGTAGCTACTTTTGCTTATCCATATGTCCTTCACAGTGTCATGAACAGAGCAGGCATTTAATCAACATTTGAATGAGGGGCAGAGTTTTGAATTGTGCAAAATGGTTAAGGATTAAAAAAATAATTTCAGTTTGGAATCTTTCATTGTGGGTACGTGTATTTTGTTATGTGTGTACTGTGGAAATTCCTACCACAAGAGAATAATGAAGCCACATAGTAAAAGGTTTCCTCCTTCCATCCCCCACTTGATAGTGGGGGAAGAAATCATAGCTCATTTTATTGCTGTCATACGAAGGAATGAGCTAATCCATAGAGTCATTTTCCAGCTAAATGAGGCTTATTCCTTTAAATCCAAAGGGGTTTTAAATTTTTATAAAGCATGCATTATCTACTTCCTTGCCTTTTTAGGTGGATACTGTAGTGGTTTCACTTTAATGACGCGGGATCATTATTATCAGCATTACATAGAATGAATGAACACGAGACAACAGAGTCCAGGTGACAGTCTTACAGATGAGGAAACGAGGGGAGGTGATTTCCCTGACCATTGTACCTTTTAATCCAGCACTGAAATGTTTACTTGGTGTGATGTAGAGGAAAAAATATCTGATATCTTGATTTTGAATTCGAGCTTCTTTGTGTACCTCCTTTTCTGAAGATGTTTATACTCAGGTCTCTGCTTATTTAGTCAAGATTAGATGAGAGGACATGTAAAACTCTTAGCTTAGTGTCTTGCAAAGTAAACTTCCTGGTAATTGTTCCTTTTTCCTCCTAATCAGGGCTTTTTCACTAGACCCATTTATCTGAGGAACACGCTGTTTCCTTATGATGGGTTTGTGATCATTTGGTGCCCTCAAATTATGTACAAAGAATTTAGCCCTTGGGTAAGTGTTTGAAGGCTCTGCAAAACAAATTGTAGAATATGTTTTGATGTGTGGACCTAATGACCTCTATTTTGATGCTTAGAGACCATTTTAAAATTGTGTTCTTTAGTGATTTAAATTGGTAGATAAGTGACCTCTGATTAAGAAAAGCGTTGTTGTATAAGGGGCGGGGTGGGGGTGGGATGGGAGCTTATGGGGAAATATAAGGAGAGACTATGAAAGTAAGTATGGTATTTTTTTTTCTCTGTGGGGAAAATATATAGGTGTGCTAGAGTTGAAGCATTTATCTATGGAAAAGTCTTGTTCTCTTCTGAAAAGTTCATCTTGTTCACCCATGGATAGGCAGGATGAATGGTAATCAGCACAATAAATCATGTTCTGTCTCTGAAGATATATGTTGTTTTGACGATTTCATATTATTAAGCCACTTGAAAATGGGAAGGTGAACCCCTTCTCAATCATACTTAAAGTTGTGGCAAAGGAGATTTTCGTCTCTATTTCAGGAAAATAAAAGGATGAAATGTTCAAATAAGATAGTAACAGGATTGTAAGGGTCAGCATGAGAACGTCAAGTATATATTGGGCAGTTGTGTATAGTTATAGCAAAGGTAATAGGCTTGTGGAAATTAATTTTCTAGTTTGGGCAGCTAATGCTTATACAAAGAGGTGATAACCCCAGGTTGTACAGTAGGACAAGTGACTTATCTTGTAAGTCTTAGGATTATTGCAAAAGCCTTATCTAATTAGTATATAGTAGCTCTCAAAATAAGAGGAACAAACCAACCATCACTAGTATACCAGAATTTCCCCTTAAGATGATGTTTTTAAAAAATAGTTAATAATATATGCAGGTGCCAGAGATGGTCAGTCATATTTGAAAGTTTTATTTTATCCTGACTATATTATCCAGAGCTGATAACTTTAGAAATGATGGTGTACTGGGAATCACCTCACTTTGGTTAAGCACCTGCATGGTAGACAACTGAATTAAAAGATCTTTCTGTATAATTTCCCTCAAAACCTAAATGAAGTATTAGAATAGATGCTTTTAAAGCAACCATTTAAATGCTAAGTAAACATCTCAAACAAAAACCAGGACGTGCTAGGACTGGTTGCTGAATAAACGTCAGTCCCTTCCTAAATCCCTCCTTAAACCTTCCCACAAAGTTTGTTCTACTTTGTGGGAAGTTCTGGTTAATACAGTATCTTACTTCTGTCTAGTTTTGGTATCTGTGAGAACTTGGACCTCCTATGTTTGAACCTGACTCCACTGCAGATAATTAGAAAGTAAGAGCCTGGGGTGTTAATAATTTTCAAAGAAGATGGAAGAGAAAGGAGAGTCGAAGTTTTTTCTGAGAAATCTTGGGAAAGGTAACGCAAGATGGAGTGGTGGGTAGGGGACAGTGGGCCTGCATTTTAAAGCCACAGCTCAGTTTTAGCGACCTGATTAATCCCGCACTGTTTACTGAAATCCAGGCGTTGTGTGAAGCTTCTCTGATATTAGTTAAACACCACAGTCACTGTCCCCAAGGAGCTTATAGACAAGTACAGGAGCATCACAAGTCACACCGAGTATTCGTTTGGGAGGTACGAGGACAGCGGCTGGTCGGCAGGTAGGAAGCCTCCAGCTGATCCTGCATCCCAGGGGGGATGTTCTAGTACCAGAAAGAACCGCAGAGCAAGGAAGAGGTGATATTAATACTCAGCTTTCATGTCCAAACGCCGCATCATGTGTTCACAAACTAATTCTGGAACGTATCCGGGCCAAGGTTGCACAGCGTCTGCAGCCGGCACAGTTTCCGCTGCCTGGCCGCGTGTCAGCCTCTGCAGTCAGCGTCTCTCCCGGCCATCCCTGCTCCGGGCCCTGCGGCCCATGTCTCTGCTGCGACACTCTTCGCCAGGCCATAAACGTCTTCTTTCAGGGTTTGTAAAACCTTTAATTTCATGATTGTCTCAACATCTTTTTTTTTTGATATCATATTGTATCTCATTTTAAATTATGGAGAATCGGGTAAAACACCAGTAAAATAGTAGGACGTTGAAGGATTTTGTTTGTGGTTCTCTTTGAGGCTCTGTCAGCCAGAACAACATACTTGATTTTTTATTGACAGCTGTGTGAAGAGATTTAATGGTCTCATGCATTATAAGTATATTGACCTTTATAGTTTTGGATTCATCCTCCCATGCACAACAGAATTTATTTGCAAGGGCACATACTTCTCTTTGTTTTTATAGCCATAGTTTTAGAGGGCCATCCAATGAGACTTCCTTCCGCTAACTATCCAGATTTCCCATGGTCAGATCTATTAGACTTTCTAAAATCTGTTAGTTGACAGCAATTTGGGGAGCACATAGATGTCTGTACCAGGATAAGCTTTGATATCCTGAGGGATTAATCCTGGGTATAAAACCTTTTTCCTTCCCCTGCTCCTCAGCACCGGTCATAGAGGGTGTTTCAGCTACGTGGGGCCAAATCCCCCTGCGTAGCCAGGCCCTTATAGACCCATTTAGCATGTAGTTAGAAATGCTTGGGGGGAACATTCAGGATAGAAATCAGGATAAGCTAGGTTTGAATTTCTTCCTAACAGATACTAGAAGTGCTGGGCATGTAAGTATCTGAGTAAGAAAAGGTGGAGGTTTTCATTAAGAGCCCATCTTTTTTGGCCATCTTTTTATTCCAACTGATTTGTTCTGAAGTGTATATTTTAGTGGCTTAAGAATGAGTGGCACAAAAAATTTGATATGAATTGTACTCTTACATACTTTGTTTAGCTAATCACAACAAAACTCTATGATGTATTACTGCTGAATTAAGTTTTGGTGTTTAGACAATAGGGCAGCTTTAGCTGGTCCAGTCTAGCTATTGAACAGTGAGCACTAGTCCTTATGGAATAGAAAACTTCCTTCCCAAAATAACCCAGTTTTCCTGAATGTATAGAATTAAAAAAAAAAAGGCCAATTATAATCCTGGTTAACACAAGATTATATAGGCAAATACACACAGGGTACTTCCTCTCAGAAAATTAACATGATCAATGAGCATTTCATTGATGTAAGTGATTGAAGATACCTGATGTGGTCCTGTACGGGGAGATCTCAGTGAATTTTTTTCATGGATTTCTCCAGGATGGAGGGATGTTGTCGTTTGTTTGGGGCTCTCGGCCTCCACCTGTGAATGATGATGGGACTGGAGGCATGATGCCACAAGCTGGCAAAACTGAGTGACCTGAGTGCATCATCTAAGCTACATCAAACTTCAGAGGATGCAGGGTCATGGAGACTGTCTTTCTCTTAGTTGATGACCTTGATTCCTTCTTTACTAAGAAAGTTGAGTCACCCACAAGAGAATTTGCCCAGCCACATCTCCTTGCCTCCCCACCGGCATCCGTGCTGTGTGATCTGCCCCCTCCGGATCCCAGAGACGACCCGCCCAGCGGACACGTGCGTCCTTGGGCCGTCTTCTCTTGCTGGTAAAGGCGCTGCCCGGCTGTCCTCTCTCCTGCGTGATTCCTTCCCACCGGATCTTCCCTTTCAACATACAAACGTGTCCCTTCTGAAAACAAACTCCTGGGTGTACTTCCCCTTGGCGATCACCCGCTTCTGTTACCCTTCACAGCGTGGTGGGTTCACACTGGATTCACACTGCCTCTCGTTCCTCGCCTGTCGGTGCCTCCTAAACCCACTCCAACCATCCTTTGGCCTGTCGTTTGCTCACTAATCGCCTCTGCCTTGCCAAACACAGGGCTCAGATCTCAGACTTCATCTTGTTTGGTGTGTTAGCAGCACTTGGCGTGTCCCTTCCTTGAAACCTGTTTTTCTTCGGTGTCTGGGCTCTAACCGTGCTTGATTTTTCCTTTTTAGTGGTCCTGCCTGGTTAGTCTCCTGGGTGAGTCCTCCTTTTCTCGCTGAGGTCATAACAGTCATTCTAGTTCTTGCCCAGCATCATGACGTTGAAGTTCCCTGGACCTCAGTTCTTGGGCCTCTTCTCTTCCTTTTCGTACGCACTCTCTGGCTGATCTCATCCAGTTTCAAAGCTTTAGAAGCCGTTTGCTGACCGCTAAAGCAGTTCGTGTCTGCAGCCTGGGCCTCTCCCGATGTCCGGACTCCTGTGCGCCCGCCCCGCAGCATGTCTGCGGGCACATGGTGATGGACGTCTCAGCCTGAACTTGTCTGAAACCAGACTCCTGGTCTTCCTCTGCCGTCCTGTCTACCGAGATCTCCTTCCATCCCCCTTGATAGCACACTCTCTTTCTAGTTGTTTAGCCAAAAACCTGCGTTATTCAGTGTAACAGATAATCCTCTTTGTTCCACCTTCAAAATACCACCCCAAATCGGCTGCTCACCACCTCTTCCACTAAGATAGTGGCCCAGCTGTCCTTCTTCTGTCTGGATTTGTTCAGTGGTCTTTCCATGCTCCAGCCCTTGACCCCCTTGGCCAGAATTCTACCCAGCAGCCAGAAAGAGCATTTACAAAACAAATGTAGGTCCTGCCTTTCTTCTTCATTTCTGCCTGAGAGCAAGCCAGTCCCTAGAGTGGACTTTGGGGCTCACGTGACCGGGTTCTCGGGCCAGACCCTGGTGCTCCAGCACCCCGGGGTGTCCGCCGCCCCTCCCCACGCTGGGAACACCCACCTGAGGGCCTTCGCCTTGCTGTTCCTTCTGCCTGGATCCTAGCTCCCTCGCCCTTCTCCAAGACTGGCTCAAATCCCATTTCCGGCGAGATCATGACTGCCCCGCTTAACATAGCGGCTTGCCATGCCTCCCCTAAGCTGCATCGCTTTTTCCCAGATTTATTTTCAAAACCATTCCAGTACGCTCTTACTATGTTTGTGGCCTGCTTTCTGCTCTCAGTCGAGTATAAATTCCATGAGGGCAGGAGGGTTTTAGTTGTTTTCTTTCACTGACACACCCCTTGTGGCTAGAACAAGCCTACATAGTAGAAGGTCGGTAAACTTTTCTGAGACAAATGAATCCAATCAGATAGCCAGGAATGGTGCATATTTAATGGGAAGGGGTGTTTTTCTAGATGTCACCTCTGCCTGGGCTGTCAGAGAATGTCAAGGCTGTAGACACAGGCAAGTGAAGAACATGGAGCAGGACAGCTTGGTTTATGAGACTTTTAAACTAAACGGTGTAAGTTCTTATCAAAGCTGTTAATTTAGCAATGTGAGCAGAATTCACATGAGACAGTTGGGACTCATTTACTGTTTTATTAGGTGTTGTGGCAGCTCAGTCTATTTCAAGGTTACCTTGTCTGCCTCTTTGACAGGAGCCTATAAAACATGGTCGAGTCAGAGTTAAGAAGGGGAAATGGGGTCTGGGAACAGAGAAGTACGTGAATGAGAGCAGCTCAGTCGCGTGTTTCCCATTTGGGGAAGTAACAAAACTGGGCAGTTCAATCCAGAGCAGCACAGTGAGAAACAGCGAGGTGGCAGCCGACAGGGGACTTCTTCAATTGGCTGATCAGAGGCTGTGTCTCCCTGGTCACTGGGTGGCCCGGGTGCCGAAGGATGAAATGCAACATGAGTGTGGCCAAAGGTAAAAGGCAGAAACTGGGGCTTGATTCCAGGTTGCTGAGAAAAGACAACATGCACCCCAGGGTCAGGTGGTGGGGTGCTACTTACAGCAAGGGGAGAGCGCATGAGAGCCGTTGCCTGCACTGCACTGGCTCCCGGCAGCCAGTGGGTGGGACCCGCAGGGGACACAGGACGTGGGCAGTGTGGGTCACCTACCCACCTGTGCTGCGCTGGCAGGACCCTGGGCCCTCCTGCTGGGGTCTGAGATCAGGAAGCTGAGGGCCTGGCTGAGAGCCGTCGACACGCAGCTCTGCTCAGGCAGAGCAGGGGGATATTCCAGCCTGGAGCAGGGAACGGTATTCCTGCAGGAGCAGGGGGGGCCCTCCTCTCTGCGCAGATGTTCCACCCGAGGCCCACTTCCTGGGCAGCCAAGGAGGGCAGAGGGTGTGAAAGGCCACACAGATCTCCTTCCCCAGCCCTGGACAGATGCTGAGTTTGAGATGTAACTTGTGAGACTTGGTGGTGCAGGTCGATGAAAGCGCTGGGGTGGCCGTGGCACAGATGCCTCCCGGCCAGGAAGCAGGGCTGCGCTGGTGCCCATGACTGTAGACCTGAAACAGGACCAGGTTAATCACTTGGCCGTGTCAGGAGCCCTGACAGAAGCTGGGCACTTGGAGGGCATGGCTAAAGCCAGTTGCTAGTAAAGATTAGAGGGAGAAGAGAAGGACTGTAGACATTGGAGTGGTGGCGAAACGTTAATTTAGAAATGAAGGTTTAAAATGTCAGTAAGACCTTAAATCTTGAGAACCCAAAAATAAAAGTCTAATCTATGTTGAGGCAAAGGTTACGCCTAACAGATCTGTAACTGTTTTGTATATCATCATCTTAAGAGTATCCTGGCTAGTTTATAAGAGCTTTTTACCGACTAATTGGTTGTCATGGAAACTACCTTGAAAACTACCGTCTTAATCTTCACTTGGCTTGAAGTGTATAGAAGTGGCAATGTGAAGTCTTTTGTTAGGCAGAAAAAATATCAAGACTTTTGGGATGCTTCTCAATTTAGGGCTCTAATAGATTCATTTATAAAACACGGCGGACGTGAAGGTCTATTTCTTCCCTCACCGAGTACTCAAGCCTGCCCTTCAGTGCTTGCTAATCGCTTATAGGCCCTGGAGCTCCAGCAGGAAGGAGAGGAGAAATGAGGAAGGTGTTCTGAGGACGTGGTGATGGGCATCCACGGTTCCCTTGCTAGAATTTCCACAGTTCCTTTTGTGATATGGGCAGAACTGGAAGGCTGTCACATTTAATTCTGGGCATTTGTTCACTGATCTCTCTGATTTGAGCTGATCCCCCAGTTCCTGTTATGCAGAGGAGATACGGCAAGCCGGGTCCCTGGACTTGAGGCAGTTAGAAATTTCTGGCATTGGCTGCAGCCATTACAGCTGTGAGTGGATTTAGCTGAAGCCTTGTGTCTGTTCTTGTCCAGTCTACTCCGGTTGCCATAACAAAATGCCATCTGCCGGATGGCTGAAACACAGTTCTTTTCTCACAGTGCCGAAGGCTAGACGTCCAGGTCAGGGTGCCTGCCGGTTTGGTCTCTGGGGAAGCCCTTCTCCTGGCTTGCAGAAGTCCACTTCCCACTTGGCCGTCCTCCTCAGCACACAGCAGGGAGAGAGCTGGCTCTCCGGGCCTCGTCTAGCAGTGATCCTACTGGGTCAGAGCCCCACTCTCATGACCTCATGAAGCCTTAATTACCTCCTAAAGGCCCTGTTTTGAAAATGTAGTTACTATGGGGGTCAGAGGTTCAACATTTGCATGTTGGAGGGGACACATTGTAGTCCGTAACAATTCTCAATCTTCTTCCCTTTTTTAAAATACCTACTGTTTATCACTTTGAACTAAGTGTTGCATTTGTGCCTTTTGTAACGAGTCAGTTTGGTAGAACAAAGTACTACATTTGTGTCTTTTTTAACAAGGGCCAATTTGGTAAAATAAAGAATAGCGTGGACCAAACTTCTTAAATACTGAGAATGACAGATGTCTGTAAACCAAAACTTTGAGAATCACTGAACAACATCATTCTACCATAAGCGGAAGGAAAGTTGTGATTGCTCCTACACTGTATTTGAAACTATCCTGTTATTATCTTCCAGACCCCCTCACCCCCTTCCCCACCACAGCCCCACCAAGATTTCATCCAGGATCTTATGAGAATCCTTAGGTCCGTTTGAGAAAAAGGAAAGAAAAGTCTGAAGTATGTGAGGATATTACCTTAGATTAAGAGTTAATGTGTATGTAGAATTGTATGTATCTATTGTATCTTATATAATGATTATGCATTTAAAATAGTTTCAGATTTTTTTATTACATTTTGAATACAAATTGAATAATTTGTATCTCAAGAATACAAATCTCAAACGTATCTCAAGAATAAAGAATGATGATACAAAGCACACCAGCATACCCACTGCCTAGATTAAGAAAAAAAGTGTCGCCAACATCAAGCCCCAGTCCCATTCCTTTCCCTCCTCCACAGAAGGGCTGATACCTTAACTTTATAATTCCCTTGATCCTTACAGTGTTTAGTATGTATACTGTAATCCTAACACATATTGCTTGGTTTTCCATGGTGGTGGGGGAAGGAGTAGTGGGTGTCTTTGTCCTTTATTCTTAACACTGGTTAGCAGGGAGAAAGGAGCAGGCTCCTAACTAGACTGCGTGCTCAGGGGCCCCAGGCTTTAGATCTGATGCCCGATACCCCTGCGCTGGAAACCGAACCTCTTATTCTTCAGGTCTGGTAAACACTTTTCGATAAAAGTTGGCTTCGGGATGCTGCTATTCTTTGGGTTTCTCTCCCACTTTTACTTAGTTTTGGACCTTTTATTCCATAATTACTAGCTTACTAGTTCATCCTTGCAGGTAAAAATATTTTGTTTTTAGTTTTAGCTGTTTTGATCTGAATTCTCTTTTGGGGACCTTGGCTATATGTCTGGAAATGGAACTGTGTATCCTAGATTTTAGTTTTAAAACATTCACATCATTGTTCTGTGCTCTCTTTTCAGAGCTGTGTGGTCCTGGAAGAAATACATTTTGATTGTGTGCCAATTACTTTTTCTTTTTTTTTTTTTTTCCACCAAATTTTTTTGGGCTTTCTCATTTTGAATGACTGCATAGTAATTTGACAAAATGTATGCAAACAGCTGATTATATTACTTGACTTGTTGGAGATTATTCTTATTGAAACGCACCTGGGCATGAAGTAATATAAACAGATTTAAGAATTAAACTGTAATGTTGTTCAGACTATGTGTGTGTTTACATGTGTGTATGTATTTTCTACTAGGCTGCTACACTGAATAATAATAAAGACTACAAGCAGAATTTCTTGAGACTGTTTCATGGATATGTTTACAGCGGTGTGGAAACTTTGGGGAAGGAGCTTTTTATGTACTTTGGCCCAAGAGCTTTACGGTAAGATAAACCTGTACAATACATCTTATCTTTCTGTGTTTAAAGATGTGTAGAAGGCTTTTCCTGCAGCTTGCTGGGTGTCATGTTTAATCATGTAGAAAGTACTCCATTTTTAAGAGCGCTGTAAGAGGTTGAAATTCTATCATGGAAAGCACTAAGCAGAGAAGAATGAATTGTGATGTCATCATTACTTAGAGGGCTGGTTAGTATATTTCTTTTTAAAAAAAAAGCTAGACTGGCAGGGCTTCCCAGAGCTACAGGGGCTTGCAGCCCTGTTTTCTCCTTCCCACGCTGCACTCTCCCCGCCCAAATGGTTATTGCACTTAGCAACCCACTTTCTTAATATATATGAATATAAAGTTTAGTTTAAATGTATCTCCAGATTTTTAGATTTTTCTGTCTTCTTTCTTTCTCTGAAGGCTTGTATGGAATTTGAAACTTATTTACAGAACCCAGAAATTTTCTGCAGAGGTAACAGGCTCTCCATTGCTTCCCAGTGCTTGATGGAAATTCACTGCTAATACGTTGGCAAAGAAGGACAAAAAATCTACTACCTGGGTTAACTTAATGTTAAAAATGCTGAAATGTATGTAATTGCCAGAGCTTGATCCCCTATTTAATTTTGCTGGAAAATGAAAAAGGACTATGAGTTAATATGACTATTGAATCTCCATCTTCTCTGAGTTTAGCCTAAGCTATTGCAAACTGTAAAGATTGGAAGTGCTTCCTTGAATCTCATTTTAATTTCTTTTTAAGATATTGAACAGTTGCACCTTCTTAAAAGAAAAGGCCTGTATCTGGAGCTTTTTCTTCTAATCAAAGGTGAATAATTGTCCCAAAGAGATAATGTGACTATTTGTTGGTATTTATTGCCTGTCATCTACTGCATGTTTAGAGACCGCAGTGCTTATGTAATTGCTTTTCCACTAAGGTGTTTGTTCCCTCTTCACTGTCAGCAGCTGCTGTCCTTGGACAGCATTGTCACTTCATGGTTTTTCTTAGTCTGGAGTTGACAACATCAGTGTGGGTCTGTGTTGCGTGTAGGAGTGACCTGCTGCCAGTGTGTTACTCTTGGAGTGGATTGATGCGATTGAGAACTCTGCAGTCTGAACAGAGTGGGACATGATGGAATCCATGTAAAATAGTTGAGAGCGCTGATATGTGATTGATTCTCTGGGATTAGGTGCAGATTTATTTCTGTAGGGTGGGAGACAGGTTTTTATCACGTGTTCTCCACCAGACTGATAAAGGGGCAATCATTTCTCAGTGCAGGGCTGTCAGTGTGTATTCCATGAAGCTCTACACAAGGGCAATCGCTTCTTCAAACTAAGTGCCCTAGTACCTTCCCTGCACAGTCCCCTGGGTGGGGAAAGTGCTTCCTTCCAATTTCCTACAGCCTTAGTGACGATGTGATAGAACAATTCAAGGTCAATGGCAGATGAGCTGTTTGAATATAAACTGAACAACCTAAAATCAACTGTATCTCCTTTCATAATTTACTGTAAGTTAAAAAAAATACACTCCCAGCCTATGCTTCTTAGGAAATAGTTGACTCTGTCTAAGAAATATGGTCAGTGTGTGAGGCTGCAAGTCTGTGAGCATGATGGAGATGTTGTCTTCGTTTTTGACTTGTTTTTTACCCACCAGGCTGGTCTTCATTTTAGAGAGCATATAGCAGGAAACGTGGTGACGATCGCCACAGTTTTCCTTGAATGCGCAGCTTTTCACTTTGAAACTGCCTGTGGATTTTTGTGCATCTTATAGGGCAGGCCATGAATCTTTGGGTTCATTTGTTATGAAAGTAGAATATAGGCATAGACCTCTGAAAGAGACCCTGCCACGTATAAAAATCCACACTTTAGAAAGATACAAATCAGAGTGACTGTTTCTGCTTCTCAAAGATGTATCCAAGTATTCAAGTGCTTGTGACAGTGCCACAGAAAACAAAAATTATATGATGTACATTTATTTCAGGAGCACAGTTGTGATGTTATTGTGATTAATACCTATACTGAATTAATACCTGAACACAGAAGCTTTTCATTTATAACAAAACAAAAATCATTCTTAATTTTGTTTTTATATGTGTCACAAATACTCATTAAAACAAACCGAGAAGTAAAGAACAAACAAATTTGTACATTCTTAGTCCTGCTACCAAATACAATCTCTATTAGCTGTGGATTCACATATTGCCAATGCTATGTGAGCCTATCTACAAGTCTGTTCACCCAGATACTCCCACCTTATAAGCTGCCATTTTCAGTCAAAATGAACACAGCTGTTACATTGTGGACTAACATTTAAGATATATTTTTTTAATGAATTTCTCTTTCCAAAACACTTCGCTATTTCCAGTTTGTGATTTATATGCCCCTGAATGTTTGCAATTATCATACATACTCAGAAACTAAATCTGAAATATTTTAGAGGTTTTGCCATTTTAGAGAAACTTTATAAATTATCGATTTTGTAAGTTATTAGTATTTAAGTGGTATGATCCTCTAAACAGATATGCAAGACATAATATGACAGTTCTTTTTTGTTTGCTAAGACTTCTTTATGGAAATCCATCGTATGCTACTTATAAAAGGGCTTTATGGCTTAGACATTGTTTTTATAATCTGTCATATAAACCTGTTAGAAAAAATGGAAGGGAGATAAAGACTCTAAACTGAATTACATGCTTTAGAGTAGTAAATACCTACTGTAAGATAAATTCTAGCTGAAATAAGCAGGCAAAGAGAGACAACAAAAGGCCAGGTAATTTATTTAAATACCCCCGGGTGAGGTTCCATGGCCTTCTTGCCAGAGGCCAGAGAGGCCCAGTTAGGGAGGTGGGGCTTATAAGGGGCTAGGAGGGGGAGGAGTGGGCAGGCTGTCCTAGGGGGTGTGGAGAGGTATGATTGGCTAAAGGTGACATAATAGACAACTAGAAACTTTTTTCCTTCCAAGAGTGAGGAGGCTGATATCCGGGTCTTAGTTGGCACATCAGGATGGAATTCAGGGAGAGCTGTCCCCTTTCCATATAAGGCATGGACCTTGGGGTCTGGTCTGTTCTCCCCCTAAGCATCTCTCTGTTCTGTTTGCATGTCCTTGTTTTTCCTTTCTCCAGCCTAACACCTACTGTTTATGTGTCCACCAAGCCTGCTTGTCTTTTGGAGGTAGCATTCCTTCTGCGAACTGGTCACCTGGCCACAGTAACCACAGAGTGCATGTTGAGTTTAATGTAATCTGATGTCACCTTCTCTCTCATACACAGTCATTGGGCCAGTGTGAGTTCTTCTGTGAGGCTTTCTCCTCCGGAGGCTGTTACTTGGCTTGTCAGGTGTGGGGTGATGGGAAGTAAAGCACAGAGGGAACCCCAGAGGCATTTTAGCCCCTTCTTTCATCTAGCTGCTCGGCTTCAAGCCTTCTTGAGCCTCTGTGAGCGGCTAGATGTCCCTTAATGTCTAACCCTTTTTGAGTTGGGTCTCTGTCACTTGCAGTTTAAGAAAACTGACCATTATAAAAAAGATACAGACTTCCAGTTATAAAATAAACAAATTCTGGGGATGTAATATACAGCCTGGTGACGCTAGTTAATAATACTGCATATTTGAAGATTGCCAAGGAACCAGATCTTAAAAGTTATCATCACAAGAAAGAAAACTTTTGTTTTTTGGGGACTATGTAAGATGATGGATGTTATCTAGACTTACTATGGGGATCATTTCTCACGTATACAACTATTGAATCATTTTGCACATTTGGAACTATTATAGTATTATATATTCCATTTAAAACAAATAAATAAATAAAAGGGAAAAAACGAAATTGACCATTAAGGTGATGGAGAGGCAGAAGAATTAAAAATTTTAGTTTTTGAAATAGTAACTTTTTCTTGTTTCAGTTACCATAAAGCTTTTATGTGTAACTGGGGAAAGCGTGGAAATCCTTCTCTCATTCGTCTGCTTGCCCTTCTACGCCTGAAAGCCTATAGGGTCTCTAGTTCTGCTCGCCTTTTCTTGTTTCTTCTCACAATATGCATCGTTTCATTGCATTTCTTTCCTGATTTTAAATGACATGTAAACCAATTGTAAATCATTAAGATAGACCCAAAAAGTCTAAGGGAAAAAGTAAATACCACCCCCTAATTAACTATCACCAAAAAAAAAAAGCACTCTTAACAGTTTTGGTAAATAACACAGATAAAACAGAAAATGCATATACCATATATTTATACTTAGTTTATATTATATAATATATGCATTGTGATATCATATATTATAATTTTTATATAAATGAGAATTTTTAAAATTTATATTTGGCTGTTTTACATGATATGCATACTGTGTTGGTCAGTGTCAAAATATACATTTAATTATTATCCCACTGTATGTATATATCATCTTTTTTTAATCAACCACTGCCGATGAGCATTTTCCCCCATTTGTCACTCTAATTAATAACCAGTAACCATCCTTGGGCACATATCTTTTGCCATTTTGATGTTTTCTTAGGATAAATTCCTAGATGTGGATTTGCTGGATCTCAGTTGCTGATGCTTTTTTTAAACATCCATTCAGTGGGCATGTAACAAGGAACCTGTCTCGGGTGGGAAGCTAAGGCACCTGCAGCTGGTTGCAGGGCAGGGATGAGCCTTGCCTGGCCTGCTGGCCTCTGATCGCATAGGTTTATCCATACCTCTCTGCAAGCTTGTAAAAGCCCAGAAACATAAGTCAACTTAAAATCCCTGTGCAGCACTGTAGTACTTGTGGAAGGTGGGGGATCGTATCACCGCAGGCTCCCCTGGCATCTCCTGTAGTCTTTTCTGCAGACAGACCTCTTCTGGCTCCCCTGGTGCCCATGTTGGGATACATTCCCACAGACACTTCCGTATTAGATTTTCCAGTACTAACAAGAAACTGATCTGTGTCCCAAATCCATAAATTCATCAGGAGAACACTAATGAATCCAGCTTGGATGCTGATAGAGCCAGCCTCACTCAGGTGTCCATTCCTGAATTGGCTGTGTCAAAGGCATGGCATTTGAGGAAGGGACTGAGGCCACTCAAGGTTGGGTGTGATGACCCTTAGTTTAAGATATAGGTTACTTAAAAATAGGCATAACATTTGTTGGTTTGTTGGAGGTGTTATCATGACATTTTTCTATTTAATAAAAACAAAATAAGTTATTTTTATGCACATTTTTCCCTAAACTGAATAGATTTATAAGTCCAAAAAAGGCATTATTTTCAGGGTTCTTATTGGGGCTACACCTGCATTTGAATTTGGTTGTAACCTTTCAGATTTTTTTATGTGGATGCAGTTTCATTATAGGAAGTGATTTAGAATCCACTTTATGAGCCATGCAGCTGAAAAGATTTTAGATATGATAGCTTCTGGGCTTGACAGTTGTACACCTTTCACTGGGGTTGAACCTCCATAAGCTAAATTATGGAGTACTTACAGGCACACATTTTTCCTGTCAAGAACTATGGGGCATGTAAAATGCATTTATGATTGATGGTAGAGCACACAGAGTTTAAAACCTACATTTTAAAAGTTAGACTGGTTAACCTTGTACAATAGTGTAATGTGGTGCTTTGGAATCGGAAGCACAGAGCAGGAACAGGTGCTGCCAGAAGAGCCATATTTATTAACTCAACAAAGCTATAAGGAGAAGGATTGGAAAGGCAGAACACAGCATTTCATCCTGAGAATCATTTGTGATCTTCATCATGAGAGGTCTCTCGAAGCCAGCTTTTTCTTTTCTTTTCTTTTTTTACTGGACAATGCTAATCAATCCTGTAAAACTGGAAGGTTATGAATTTTTCATCACTGCATTGTGATTTTTTAGTTAACTGTAAATATTTATAAATCCCCTCTTCCCAATACATATAAAGGTAGAAGAAAATGGAAAGAATTGAAGACAATAGCATTTTGACTTGTTCTCTTTTCTTTTGATATATAAGATTTTGCAAAAAAAAAAAAGAATTATTTTATTGCATATCCCAAAGCAAGGGAAAGAAGAGTCTTAAAACTGCAGTTATCATTATTGAATAGGTGAACATTTCCAATCCATTGTGGTAGAAATAAGGAAATTGAATGCTTTGTAGAGTTTATAAAAACACAAACTATAGGCAATGTAAATTTAGCCTTATCTCATCCCAAACCTTTGAATCTTGAGAAAAAGCTGAGAAGCGCTAGACTGTTTCGTGAATAAAAGATTCTTCATCTGACAAGGAAAGAAGAACAGGGGTATGTTTTCTTGGGCTTATTGTTGGGGCCTTATTATTTCTCTGGGAATTTATTTTGAGTGTGGGTTGAAAAACTGATTGTCACATCTACAAAGTTTTACAGGGCTGCAAAGCCACAACAGAAAAATAGATATTAGTTACCATTTTTTTGTTCTGTAAAAGTGCCTATCCTGACTAACATTTGTTTGCTTATAATCCAAAAAGTGAAGTAGAGGAACAAACATTTGATTGATGATATAGGCTTTCTGCCACTCAAAAATAGGTTTTTGTTTTGTTTCAGGATTCATTTTGGAATGAAAGGCTCAGTCAGGATTAATCCACTTAAACAAAAAAATAAAAATGGAGTTTCTCCCGTTTTTGAAATGCAGCTCACCAAAGATCTGATTTGTTTCTTTGACTCATCAGTGGAGCTCAGGTAAAAAATAAAATAAAATGGAAGCATTTCAGCTGCAGAAGCACAGAGTTGGCTCTGCAGTTTGGTTTGGGATGATATGAAATACGTAAGTGTAGGAAAAATTTGAAAGTGGTTTATAACTGATAAAACTTCATTTTAAAAGAATCTTTAAGAAATATAGTTTGTTAGGGTCTTTGTTGTTTGTTATATAATTCTTGTGCCCTAATTAACATTAAGTGTTTATATCAAAACTCATTTTAAATGACACTGTGAAATTGCAGCCAGACTTATGATTAATGTGTTTTATACTCTTTTCTATAGAAATTCAACAGAAAGCCAATGGAGAATAAGAATGATGGAGGAATTAGATGTATGTTCACCTAAATTTAGTTTCTTAAGAGCAGAAAGTGAAGTTAAAAAGCAGAAGGGACGGATGTTATGTGATGTGTTGATGGACCAGAAAGTGTTGCCTGGCGTGGGGAACATCATGAGAAACGAGGCTCTCTTTGACAGCGGTCTTCACCCAGCTATTAAAGTAGGTTCTAAGTAGTTTTTAAATGATTTCTGTATTTTTAAATACTGCTAAGGGACTACATGGGACACTTAAATCAGTACAGCAGTCACACATGCACCCCAGGCAGGCCTGGGGGCTTTGCTCCCGCTATCTTGTCAGCGAGGCCACACTGACCACCCTGTTTAAGTTACGGTGTGACCCCCACCCCCAGTTCACACTCCCAGTCTCCCATAGCTTGCCTTACTTTTTATTTTTTCCTTACCACTGATGACTTTCAAACATAACCTAATATTTACTTGTTGTATTTATTGCTTAAAACCTGTCTCCTCCTGCTAGAATGCAGTCTCTTACGAGGAAGGTGTCTGTTTTGATCATTGATGATCCAAGCGTCTTGAGTACATGTCTGGCACATAGTCGGCATTAAAGAGGTACTTGGTGGATGTAGGAATGAACTAAGCTCACAACTTTCTTTTTGTACCTCGAATATTAAACTCACACTCTGAACACACACTCATACAGCCCTATTTTTAGCTGTTTGTAACGTGAAAATGCCGTTTCGGAGAAATGGTAAGAATGGAAGTCAGGTGTCAGAAGAAGGAGTGTCTAAGTGACTGGTGAGAAAACGGAACAGCATTTAGAGCACTTGTTAGAACAGCTTAGACTGGCAGGCGGGGAACTAGAGACCGCCACGGGGAGGAACCAGGACAAGGGCTGGGTTCTGCTGTTTTTTTCCTTGTCTTCAGCTGGAGATCATTTTCATAAAGCCCAAATCAGTAGGAAAAAAGTTTTAAAAGAAACCACTTAATGGTTATTTGAGATTAAGTTCTACCTTTTGACCCTTGTAACAAGCTAGTCAAATATCTGTAATATGTAATTATGAAACGAAACAGGATTTTAACAAGAATAGCTTTTTAAAATTACCTAGGTTTCTGTGGAAAATGTTTTTGAAAAGAGAAGCCAGTATTGTTACCCAGAGGATTGTTTTCTGTGATAAACTGAGAATTTACTTTTTATCTGTCATCCAGCTAGCCATTCACCTGGTAAAAGATAGTTTGCCCATGATGTCTGTGGGCTTTTAAATTAATGACATTTTTGAAATTTAGCTACCAGTTGCTAAAAAAAGTACCGTTTAACATTTCAATGCGTGACTGAATATATAGTATATGAGATATGGTAAGCTATCAATGAGTTTTAGAACTGCACGTGTTTTATAAACTTTAAATAATTGAAAAAACATATTTAAAAAAATTGTAAAAACTTTCAGAATGATTATGTTGATGAGATGATTTTAGACTTTATAGTCATAATTACATTCTATTGTATATTGATATATGTATGTATTCAGATACATAAAACAAGGTTAAGTCATCAGACAGAATTTCTTCTGGAATTGCCATTGAAACTCCATGCCAAATGATATTTTCTGCAAGGATAACACTGACATTTATGCCAGGCTCTGTCACAGACTTTTCAGTAAGGTCTGTTTCTGAGTTCTTCTATGTGTTAATAGGTACTCTGATATTAATACATGCATATAAATTCATATCTTAAAGCTTGATAGTGACCTTGATAGTCATCTATTCCTGGCTTATTTTCCCTCCCTTCCTTCATGTTTTTTTGGTTTGTTTGTTTGTTTGCTTTTCTTTGCAAATCCAGCAAGACTTTTCAAGATGACTGATAAACAATGCTAGGCCTTGGAAGATGTCTGATATGGAATAGATATTCAAGGAATACTTGAATTTAGGATTAAAATTCATAAATAAGAATGGTATTTTTTATCTTAAGTGCTATCCCTTCCAAATAAAACCACTATTACTAGTGACATAAAATAGATATGTGAGGAATGAGTTCTAGAAGATATGCATATATTTTGTCTATTTACAGTTCTGTTAGAACTGGTAAATGGTATTATTTTTCTATAGTAACGAACAAATTATGAAACTACCCTCAGTCATTTTTCTATTTTAAGGTTTGTCAGTTAACAGATGAACAGACCCATCACCTTGTGAAAATGATACGTGATTTCAGCATTCTTTTTTACAGGGTAAGAGCCAAAACTTTTCAGCTATGTAGAAATGTCAATTGTTTCCTTCTTGATTGCACCAAAAATGTTCAGGCTGTATAAAGCCATCTGGTGGTAAGAGTATAGCAGTATGGTAAGGGAAAAGGACATGTTGCTGGCATAATGAACATCTTTAAATTTAAAGTCATAGGTTAGTCCAAACTTATCTGCCTATAATTACATTAAATTGTCTTTATACTAAGTTGGGGAAAAGTTATGTTAGTATTTTACTTAGACCCTTGTTTTATTTTTGGACTTTTATATACAAGTAAATATCTCTTATATAAAAGTAAAATATGGGAACCCTGGAGAGACAGACTCAATATGTTAGGATAAATAGACCTAATTCACTCAGATTTTGCTATTTACTATTTGTATGGTTTAGGTTATTTAGATAACTTAGGTTTAGTTTCTTCATCTGTAAAATGGGATGATAATCTTCCCTATCTACTGCAAAGACTGAGAATGAAATAAATACTTGATAAACTGTAAATTTTGGAAGTTGTATATTTTTATGCATGTTTATATATATGTATATATAAAGTGTGGTAAATACACTTTATATTTCAAACAAAGTAACATAAATGTTTTTTTCGCATTTATAGTAGGATTATAGTAGGATTCTTTATTAATTATCCTGAAGTATTCATGACCCTCTTGCTTTATATAACTGCCTTGAGTATCTACACTATGTAATATTATATATGCTCACTTATTCTTCCAGGGAAATATGATTATAAACAACTAGTCATCCTCTGCCAAGATTACTGAATTGGGTGTTCAATACTTTTTTTTTAAATTAACATACATAGTTTCTTGTAATTTTCCGCTTATATATGGTGAGCCATATTTCTGGGCTTTTAAATTTTCATGCTGCTGGTGTAAATCCAAAACATTCTCTGTGTTAGAGCCTTAAGTATATGTGAGCAGAATAAACTGTGACAGAGAGATCAAAATGTCTTTTGGAATAGAACTTATACCAAAATGGAACATATTCTCTGCTAGGATGGCATTTGAATTTTTATTTTCTTTTTTTGTGAATCTGTAAGATTAGAAATGAAAAATTGTCCTTTGTCAGGTCAACAAAGAAGATGATCTTGTTGAGTTTTTCCCACTAGAAATAATTTTTTTGTCTGTTGAAACAGTGAGCAGCTTCAATGTTCTAAAAATAATCAGATTTAAAGATAATTTAGTCTTTTCTTATAATCACATAATTGTGTTTAATTAAAAAAAATTAAAAGCATGAAAGACATTTTAAATTGTAGAACTTTTACATCCCATTTAGGTAAGAGGGTAAACCTATGCAAAGAACAATTTTGTATGCTAATAACTTACAATGTCAGTTATTTCACACAAAATATTTGACAAATATTGCTGAGTCTTGTCAATACCTTTTTATTATATAAAAATATTGTATGGACATTGGGCAAACATAAATATTTAAAAAATCATTTTCAGAAATGACTTTCAAGAAAATATCTTTGGCTCCTTAGCAACACTTTTGTTAGATAACAGTATAATGTTGCTTGTTTGTTTGTTTATTCATCTTTAGTGCCATAAAACAGGATCTGCTGTGTCCAAACACTATAAGGTTTACAAGCGTCCTAACTGTGGTCAGTGCTGCTGCAAAATAACTGTGTGTCGCTTAGGGGAGAATAACAGAATGACGTATTTCTGTCCTCACTGTCAAAAAGAAAATCCCCAACAGACTGACATATGGTGAGTTATGTAATTTAAAGGTTTACTGTTTGCCCCAATTCTCTAACTGAAAAGCTCTAATAACCCCAGAATGACCTGAAGATGATTTATGGACCACTTCTGCATTCAGTAGAAAATCTCTAGCTAAAATGTTAAAGCCTTTGGTTTTAATCTCTTTTGTAAAGTGATTACCAAGAGGTGTAGATATGTCAATAATTGGAAAAATGCAACTATCTTCAAAAGTTTTTCTTTATTTACATATAAGTGAGGTCTCTTTACAGAATTTATGTCTTGCTGATGAAGCAGCCGATCACTTGTATACATACACGTGGTGATTCCTCCGGTGGCTGAGTATGTCTGTTGCAAATGACCTGGGGAAATAACTGAGGATGGGCTTAGGGACCCAGTGTACCCACTGTAAGATGAACGTGAGCTGAAACTTCACGGCACCTGCATAAGCTCTACTTACTGATTGGAGGGGCACAGAGGCATTTTGGATTTCCTGGAATTAATGTCGGCAAAGAGCCGCTGTTGAAGTAGTCCCCTGGAGGTTTGAGTATTTCCTTTTCCCAATGCACAGTTACGCTGGTAGAAGAAGATGAGAATGGTGAAAGGCTGCGGCGTATTGAAAATCTGAAGGTTATTTAAATTATGTTTACTTAATTATGAATAAATGCATCCTGCTGCCCTTCAGAGTAAGTTAGTAGCGGGCAGGGTTTATGTCAAGTAAACAACGTCTATAGAAGGTGTGGTGGTCCATAGGCATAAGAGTACTGAGTGGCGTGAAAAGTTAAGGTAAATAAAGATAAAAGAATCCTAATGAGATGTTGTCTGACTTTCAGTTTTTCTTATTCTATTTATTATTTTACCAGACAAGCCTGAATTTGTGTAATTACATGTAGGCAGTAGAATGTTACAGAAGAGAAGGCTACCTTTGAAAGCCAACTTACATTCTGAAACGTAAGGAACATCACGTGCGCTGCAAGCACTTTTTCAGTATTAATGTTTGGGGTCCTGAAAGGAGTCCCTGCCGCCGCCGAGGCTGCTGACCTGGAGCAGCGCCGTAAGCACTAGGGCTCTGCCGGAGCCGCGTGCAGGCGTTTTGTGTAATAACAAATAGTCAAGTAAGAGTTCTAGGTAGAGAATCAGGGTTTATGTGTGTGGTCAGAATCAAGGTTGGTTTTATTGTTTGCTTATGACTATATTAATTAGATATCCTGCACGAAACAGTTTTACCTGAAGGGAGGTAATATAAGGATAGGTGTCTTTTTCATCATCATAGATCAACTAATTGATACTGTGCTCAGTAGATGCCTTAGCGAAACCCAAGAGGTACCTGAACTTCTCAGGGCACATGAAGTGAGTGTGAAGCTTTCTTCATTGTACTTCCAGTGCTCTAATATCTGTGTAACTTTTTTTCCTTTCTAATTTGATTGAATAAAGATATTTTAGTGTTGCTTTGGGAAGAGGACCACTTACTTAAAACATTTGAGAAGTGCTTTCTAGTGCTTATGTCAAATGTTTTTAGTTGGTTTAAAAAGAAAGCACAGCTCTAACTCTAAATAAAAACTTTTATTTATTTTTTCTGTCTTTACAGCAATCAGCAGGCCCAAGTGTGAACATTTATTCTCAGATAGTGAGAACTTCTAAGCAGTAATAAACATTAGCATTATTGGGTAGCATTTGGGTTTTATGCTTCTGTAGTGGTTTCTGAAATGCCCAGAATGTATAAGAAGAAGTCAATAATAAGTCTTAATGGTTAATGAAAAAAATTCTTTTATAGCAAGCTGCCAGCTAGAAACACTATGATCAGTTGGACATCTATGAGAGGGGATCATTTTACGGACCAGGTGGCTCGGAAATCTGAAGAGCAATGGGCATGTGTGGCCTGTACGCTGATAAATAAGCCTTCTTCTGATACATGTGATGCTTGCCTGACTTCAAGGCCTATTGGTAAGACTGAATTTTGATTTTGATTTCGTTTCAGTTCAAGGCTAATTGTACAAAATCAGGTATATATTTTGTTGCATCTTGATATTTCATAACTAAGTAAAATGCTTTCTTTCTGAAAGGTTTAAAGAAACTGCTCGCCTTTGCATGTGAGCAATGCTAATATCTGTTGAGTGCTTTTTTTTAACAGGGAAGGAAAACATGCTTGTGCTAAAAGAGTATGTGCCTTTGTATCTCGAAAAACTGAGATGATCACATCTGTTCTCTACTGTTTCTAATGAATTATTCAATAAAGCTTTGTTTTATGCAGATTTCAGCAACTTTTGAGTTTGTTATTCAGTCCAAGTGTTTCATAAATTGAAAGGGAGGATTTCTGTAAGAATATCTTTGCAGGTGGAATAGAAAAATGCTGAATATTTTCTCTTCTTTATCCTTCCTACCCCTTGTTATTAAAATCTTTTCCCAGACAATTGTACTGATTTCATTGAAATCCTTCAGAATAACTCTTTATAGCTCACAATTTCATGCGTTCAGAGAATGTGAAACCTCAGAGGAAACCTGTGATTAAGAACCATCTCATTGATGCCGCTTCTATTGTGTTCTGAAAGTGTTCTTTCTTTCTTCAATTAGAGATGAGAAAGTTCATTCTTGGCTTCTGGACCCCACATTGTGTTCGCTGTCGCATTGTGTTTCGTCCTCTGGGCCAGAACCGCAGGCTCGCCTCTCGCACAGCTTTGCTGAAGCGGGAGGGATGGTGCCCTGCTGTCTGCCACCCACCTCACTTTTAGTTGTCCAGCCACAGTCTTTTCAGTCTCCACACTTACTTCCGCACTCTCACATGCCTTTGCATATCTCATAACGGTTTTCTTGTTATTTCTTCTGAGTATGAAAGACATACATCTTAACTACAATTTAGAATAATTACAGTACAGATTCCAAAATCCTAGGGTTCTTTGTTGAAACCTTTTTAATAAATGTTAAGTCTTTGCAATTCATCTTTCACTTTGTCTTCTCATTCACGGAAATATTCTTGATAATCTAGACATAGGCCTCTAACGGCTGACCTAAAGCTTTGTAGGACATCCCCTCTTAATTACCGCTGTGTTGATACTCTGCCTAGTGCAACATCGATAGCTAAATAACTTTTAGATGCTTGAACATAATAGGAAGTAAATATAATTCTTTGTTAAACTCACCCGAGTCCTTAAAAGTTGTTGAAATTTTGTACTTTATGTATTTCATTTCTAAACCAAAAGATGGTTAATTCTGGATTGCCCAAGCTAACTTTATATTACTCGTTCTATGTATTAGTTCACTGAAGTAAGTAAACTAAATAAATATTTTAATCAAATATAAAAAGATGTTTCAAGTTGTCAATGTGTTACATTTATAGGAATACCACCGAACTGTTTATCTCTCCTTCCAGATTCAGTACTCAAGAATGAAGAAAGTTGTCTTGCTCCTAACAACTTAGTGAACTACCCGTGTAACAGCTTTGGGAAACCAGGCACAGAAGTGAGGATCAAAAGGAAAACTGCCTTTGGAACTGCAACACTTGTGTTGACCGATTTTAGCAATAACAACAGTGCTTTGGAAGGACAAAAAAGCCCAAACCAGAGACCAGAAGGGGAATTTCAAAACACTCTTCCTCCAAATGTTTGTTTTAGTGATAGGCTGCACCCCTCCAAGGAGAGAACAAGCCGTCTAGCTCAGCTGTCTACTAAAGTCAGTGTATCCTCGATGGTCCGCTCCCCGTCTGAATTATGTAGTCCAGCATATAAAAAATTGAAAACTGCCCATTGCTTGTCACGAGATGTCAAAAGTAGTGACCCTGGGTCTTCAAACAGGTATGACGCTGCTAACTTTGATCTGTAATGTGTTTGAATTAAGTTTTAAGAAGACAGAAGAACTGTCCTGTGCTAAGGAAGTGGAATTGATTTTGGTAGTGTACATCAAACCCTGAAAGATGATTCTCTTAATTTGCTTTCTTCTCTCTGGCTCATAATGTTAGTGAAGGGAAGGGAATGAAAAACAGAGTCTCCTACATTGGTCAAAAGTTATTTTTTTTTGTGACTGTAACCATATACATGGTCAGTATAGAATATTTGGAAAATACCAGGAAGTATGGGAAAATGTTTAAATCCACCATAATCTTACCTGTTATCAGTCACCACTTTTAGTGCTTTTTAAAACATGCTTCCTTTGACAACCTTAACAATAAAATAGTTATTTTACCAGCAAAATGAATTTATTTGGGAATGGCAAAGGAATTGCAATTATATATAGACAAGCAAACTATAGCAAACCATAGAGAAGTCCAAAGAAACAAAGGGAAGGTCAGCTTTTATTAGATTTTAGGAGGAAATTGGGGAGGGCTGTTTGACAAAAGGTCAATGGAGGAGAATGAGACTTTGAGGCCGTGGTGGTTTCTTGTTGGCCGGGAGCCGTGATCAGTGCCTGTTGCTGGGCAGGGAGAGATTGTCCTTCATCTTCTTAAAAGCAGAAGATAAAATTCCCATGTGATAAGTGTCCTCTTGTCAAGATAAGAATTTCTTCCCCGTTTCTGCTCCCTCGATGCCTGCTGTGAGGAGCGGTACTTGCGTGAGAGCTTGCCCGTCAGGGCTTCCTGACTTATTTTCACTCCGTCCAGTGAAACAGTTTTCTAGAAGGGAAACTATGACCACTTTCATGCTAATTAATATCTCGTGATGCGAGTTCATGGAGGCCCTAGTTGAAAGTGTCTGAGTTGGGATCCTATCCCGTAAGAAAATCTTCTATTAGCAGCCTTTTCTGCCCTGTAGCTTAAGAGGAAAGAAGTAGATGTCATTATTTAAAAATAATGTGGCACACATTGTACCCAGATGAAATATCTTGGCATATTTTTATTTCCTTAGCGCTTTGTAGGGAATCTCAGACAATCTAACTAATGAATTAGGGATTTAAGAAAACATTACCATAACCTTAAATGTAAGTGATTTATCCATAAACCATTAGTAACAGGGTCGTCTGACTGATCACACCTCACAGCATTATTTGGAAACACAGCAGTATGTGTATGTGCTGGATGTAAGGACCCCAGGACTGAGGCTCTAGAATCAGTCAAGATCAGCTAGCGGAATAAATGCCAACTGATGAAACGCATTCACCCAGCAACCCTTCTGCACCCAGCTACTTTACAAGGAATAAATTGCAAATCACTGTCATTTATTTCATTTCACTCCTTGTCTGGCAGCTACAGTGTTCATCTTGTGGACAAGATGTGGGGCAGAAGCTCACAACTTAATATGATTAAAGCAGGTGGTCCACTCAGAGTTTATAGCCAGTTTATTTTTTCTTTAATAATTACATGGTAATTACTTTGCCTTTTGTTATCTTAATTACTGATCTCATCACTATATGATACATGCTATGCTGGTGAGGCATATTTTCAGATTGGTCTTTAGATATACTCAAATTTTATCTAGCTACTGGATTATAGTAAATTAGATGATTGAACCAGTATTTAAGTGGTTAAGAATAAGTGCTAGAAACAGTTTTAAGTTTTTGACTGGATTATTGTAAATACTGAGCAATACATAGGGTGCACAGTCAGAGAATACGTGTTTCAGGTTTTCCCGGAACTGACTCCGGTAGAGGTTCCCATAGATGAGTGAAATGAAGCTAACAGAACCGCTAACGTTTTCTCAAGTCTGCTGCCATCAGAGTCGTGAGAGTTCTACCTCTAATCATCAGGGAGGCTCTGACCCCTTTCCTGTGCTGCCAGGCCACCTTCTGGAGTTCTCAGTCCCTCAAGGACTGTATGACAAACTAAGCCATGATAAACTGATCATTGAAAAAATAATACCCATGCTAAAATTACAAACCTGTGTTTGGTAAGATCCTCCCCGATAATAGTTTTTTTTTTTTTAAATATTGAAGTACATAAAATAAAATGCACAAACCTCAGTGTCCAGCTTAATGAGTTTTGACATGTGTATATATTCATGTAACCACTGCCCAGATCATGATACCAAAAATTCTCACTGATTTTTTTTCCCCCTCACCTATTTCACCCATACCCCTCCCTCTCTCTCAGGGCAACTGAAAGTCTGTTCTCTGTGTTTATGAGTCTGTTTCTATTTTGTTTGTTCATTTGTTTTTTCAGATTCCACATATATGTGAAATATAAGTGTAACAATATAATATTTGTCTTTCTCTGTCTAACTTACTTATTTAGCATAGTACCCTCTAGGTCCATCCATGTTTTCACAAATGGCAAGATTTCATTCATTTTTAAGGCTGAGTAAATAGTCCATTGTGTATATGTACCACATCTTTATCCATTCATCTCTTGATGGATATTTCGGTTCTTTCTGTATTTTGGCTATTGTAAATAATGCTGTGATAAACATAGAGTGTATATATCTTTTTGAATAAGGTCTTTTGCTTTTCTTCAGGTAAATTCCCAGAAGTGGAATTATGGGTCAAATGGTTTTTCTATTCTTCATTTTTTGAGAAACCTCCATACTACTTTCCACAGTAGCTGCACCAATTTGCAATCCCATCAGCAGTGTACGAGGGTTTCCTGTTCTCCAAATCTTCACCAACACTTGTCATTTTTTCTCTTGGTGATATTAGCCATGCTGACTGGTGTGAGGTGGTACCTCGCTGTGATTTTGATTGCATTTCCCTGATGATTCGTGATGCTGAGTCTGTGTTGGCCATGTGTATGTATTCTTTGGAAAAATGTCTATTTCAGATCCTCTGCCCCTTTTTTATCAGACCTTTGGTGTTGAGTTGTATGAGTTCTTTATATATTTTGGATATTAACCCCTTATCAGAGTTATCACTTGCAAATATGGCCTCCCATATGGTAGGCTGCCTTCTCATTTTGTTGATGGTTTCCTTTGCTGTACAGCATTTTGGTTTGATGTAGTCCCACTTGTTTATTTTTGCTTTTGTCTCCCTTGCCTGGGAAGTTGTATCAAGAAAAAAGTTACTAATTTGATGTTCAAGAATATACTGCCTATGTTTTCTTCTAGGAGGTTCATGGTTTCAGGTCTTATATTTAGGTCTTTAATCCACTTTGAGTTTATCTTTGTATATGGTATTAGACAATGATACAGTTTTATTCTTTTGCATGTTAGCTGTTCAGTTTTCCCAGCATCATTTATTGAAGAGACTGTCTGCTCATTGTATACTCGTGCCTCCCTTGCTATTTATTAATTGACCATATAAGTGTGGGCTTATTTCTTGGTTCTCTATTGTGTTCCATTGGTGTATGTATAAAAATACTTTTTATGCCAATACCATAGTGTTTTGACTACTGTAGCTTTGTAGCGTAGTTTGAAATCAGAGAACATGATACCATCAACTTTGTTACTATTTCTCAAGTTTGTTTGCGCTATTCAGGGTTTTTTGTAGTTCTATACAAATTACAGGTTTATTTGCTCTAGCGTAGTAAAAAAAACCATTGGTATTTGGATAGGGATTTCATTGAATTGTAGATTGCTTTGGGCAGTATGGCTATGTGACCAGTATTAATTCTTCCTATCCATGAACATGGAATAGCTTTCTTTACATTTGTGTCTTTAATTTTTTTCATCAATGTTTTATCACTTTCAGTGTATTGGTCTTCCACCACCTTTGTCAAATTTATTCTTAGGTATTTTATTCTTTTTGATGCAACTGTAAATGGAATTGATTTCTTAATTTGTAAGTTTATTATTTGTATGCAGTAATGCAAAATATTTCTGTATATTGGTTTTGTGTCCTGTGACTTTACTGAATTTATTTATTATTTTGGTGGACTCTTTAGGGTTTCTATTATAGTATTATAGTATCATGTCATCTGCAAATTAATGACATTTTCACTTTTTCCTTGACAATTTGGATGCCTTTTATTTCTTTTCCTTGACTGATTGCTATGGCTAGGACCTCCAGTACTATATTGAAAAAAAGTGGTGACAGTGGGCATCCTTGTCTTATTCCTGATCTGAAAGGAAAGGCTTTCAGCTTTTTGCTAGCTGTGGTTTGTTATATATGGCCTTTATTATGTTGAGGTATGTTTCCTTTGTACCCACTTATTGAGAATTTTTATCAGGAATGGATTCTGGATTTTGTCAAAATGCTTTTCAGCATCTGTTGACATGATCTATAATTTTTAGCCTTTGTTAATGTGGTGTATTACCTTGGTTGATTTGCAGATATAGAACCATTCTTGCATCCCTGGAATAAATCTCATTTGGTTGTGGTGAATGTATTTTTAATACATTTAATGTGTTTTTGAATTCAGTTTGCAAATATTTAGTTAAGGATTTTGGCATCTGTGTTCATAAGGGCTGTTTGTAATTTTTTGTCTTTGTTTTGTCTTTGGTTTTGTTATTAAGGTGATGCTGGCCTTGTAAAATGATTTGGAAGGTCTCCTCCCTCTTAGTGTTTTGGAACCGGTTCACAAGGATGGTTAGTAGCTCTTCTGTAAATGTTTGGTAGAATTCTCCTGTGAAGACTTCTAGGTCTGGGGTGTTGTTTGTTAGAAGTTTTATGATTCCTCTTCAAACTGTTTACTAGTCATTGGTCTGTTCAGATTTTCTGTTTTTTTCCTGGTTCAGTGTTGGGAGATTGCATGTTTCTATGAATTTATCCATTTCTCCAAGGTTTTCCAATTTGTTGGCATAAATTTTTTCATAGTAATTTCTTATAATTGTTATATTTCTCTGGTGTCAGTTGTAACTTTTCCTTTCATTTCTGATTTTATCTGTTTGAGTCCTCTAATTTTCTTGCTGTCTAGCTAAAGATTTATCACTTTTCTTATCTTTCCAAAGAACCAGCTTAGTTTCACTGATCTGTTATACTGATTTTTAGTTTCTATTTCTGATAGATCTTTTGATATATCTGATCTTTGATAGTAGTTTTTAATCTGATCTGTTTAATGTTACTTGTTTATTAGTAAGTATATATTGAGAACCTATTATACATCAAGCATAGCTCTCATTTCTAATGACCTATACCTCAGCAAACTACAGCCAGTTGTTTTTGTGGATAAAGTTTATTGGAACACACCCTATTCTCATTGGTTTACATATTTTCTGTGGCTTCTACTCATGCTACAGAAGCGCTGTTAAGTAGTTGCAACAGAGATTGTAAGACCCCCAAAGCCTAAAATACATGCTATCTGAGAAGGCAGTGTAGGAAACAAGGAAAGGGGAAAATACCTTTAATTTTTAAGTATTTTTAAAAATAACTTAAGAATGGTATTTTGTTCCTTAGAAATTAATGCAGAAATGAGATGGGATGAACTTTTTTTTGTCATTAAAACGTTTTAAAATAGGGATATTAAGGGAAAGGACTTCTGGTTTTAATTACTGTGAGCTCTTCTCCTCTTCAGCTGCTTTATTAAAAAGACTAACTCTTACGAAGGCATTGTTAATATAGGTAAAATATAAGAAATTTTAAATAGTAATGAAGCTCCTTTTCAAAGAGCAAGTTCTGCCTACACAGCTAGTAGAAGGTAGCCTCGTGCGCTGTGCACAGCGCTACCTCCGGGCACTCGGATCCTGATGGTGGAGGAGAGTAAAGCTGCTGAACTGGCTTCACAAAATACGCATTTATGCTCTGCCAGGCAGCCCATTCTTTGCTGAAATATGGTTGCAACTATTACAGTGGCCTTGATCAAAGAAAAGCATAGAGAATTGTCTTTAAAGTAGGCAGTAGAAAGAATTATCTCAGTGGCCTTGTCAGAGCCATTGATGAAAGTTGGCTGCCAGTGAGAAAGTGATTAGAGAAGGTTGTGGCTCTGGTTACTTCGTGGGTGGGGGAGCAGCTGACCTGAGAATATCTTAGAGGAAATAAAAGTGGTCACACTGTATTGCTGGGTAACGGAAGAACCACATATCACAAGTGGAAACTAAGTAAATTGGATGTACTGGGTGCACAATTTAGCTCTTTTTTTTCTTGAACATTTAAAAATACATACTTTAGGCACATAGGTAGATTGGAAGTAAACCAGTGAGTGTAATTACCTACTGTTGACCATGGGCCACTTTTTTTTTTTTTTTTCCCCCTCCCTCCCCACCCTTCATGGGCCACTTCTTGATACCATTGTTTTGTACAAGTAGAATTCTAAGCAGGGGGTGACGTGGTGTGACTGACCTGTTTAGTGCTATTATGCTGCCATTATTGTGCAACCTGTCGTTACAGTGAACATCAAGTCACTATGACAGATGGTACTTGCACACTCAGAGCTGGCAGTCCTCGCTGCAGTAAACACAACCGCCTCTGCGTTCTCCGAGTTGTGAAGAAGGACAGTGAAAACAAGGGCAGGCAGTTCTACGCTTGTCCTCTTCCTGGAGAAGCACAATGTGGATTCTTTGAAGTATGTAACGTATAAAATTTACAAGTTTACTATAGTGTAATTGAGTAGTTTGGTTATTAAAATGTAACAAATAGAAATCCTTTTCTGGTTTTACTTTTAATTTTAGATAGTAGCTAATTGACATGTAGTCTAAATTTTGAATGTTGAATGTCTTAAAATTTAAAGATGTTCATCAGAAGCAGATAAATGAGCCAAGTAATAACTGTTAGATTATTCGAATACATCATATCTGTGACCACAAACACAGAAGTGTTTCTTTGTTAATAAGGATAGAAAGGTATTGATTGACTTCCTGGGTGGCTAATAATCCAAAATACGAATGCATTCTGCCTAACTTCAAAACTATGTCAAAACCTTTGGTTTATGCTTTGGATAGAGGTTCACATGAAAAAACCATTTCCATGCCTCAGATTTACAATAAATATAGCAAATCCTGCTACACAAGCTTGCTCCTCAAAAAAGGTATGATGCAATCACAATTAGGTAGAGGCGATGCCTCACTCCTTTCTGATCTCTGAGTGCGTCCCTGGAAATGAATGTGAGAGGGACCAAGCATCTAGGGTCTCTTAATTCAGTGTCACCTCCACATTCCTCAGCACGGGAGCATCTTGCTAGAATAACGTGGTTCTCATGTTTAGAGGTGCATATTTTTCCTATTGCTTCATCTGGTGCATATCTAAGAAAATGCCCCTCTGTTTCAGTGCTAGAGCAAAAATTTTCTGGTTGGTTTTGTAGAGAAACCTTCATTGTGGTACCTTTCTAAGGAAATTCTCAGGGAAAATTGGACAGTGATTCTAGAACTTAATCCCTGCACAAGATGTCACTCCATCCTTCTAAATCAAGAAGTTTTTAAGATTTAATGGTGAAAATATTACTAGCAGTATTAATAATACCACAGCCTGGTTTACAGCTCTCTTGAGGCCAAAATCAGTAAGAATTTTACAATGGAATGTACCTAAATTAGTCCAGGCAATTCTGTATTGGATTATCTCATTTCTTAAGAGACTGAAGACATTTTATATCAAAATCATAACAAATCTTTGATCTTAGTAGTTGTAACTACAACAGACTATAGTAGGAGCATTGGTGACTGCTTTACAGCAAGATTCTGATCAGGAAATTCAATTATTCTGGATAAAATGAAGGAACTTGTGCAAACATGCTTTTAGACAGAGAGCAGCTCAGAATTAACGGCAGTTTTCTGCATGATTTACGGAGATTTGTGAGAGAGCTGCTTCTTACAGGATATAAACTTCTTTGAGGCCCGCAGTGACCTGTCTATAGTACAGCGTCAAATTAGCAGTGACGGCAGTGAAGACAGTGAGGCACTCGTCAGGTGCGCCCCGTTTAGCTCATGTGCCATTCTGAGTGCCGTCTGAACTTGACCATCTTTCTTCTGTTTGTCGCCCGTAGTGGGCAGATTTGTCCTTCCCACTCTGCTGCCATGGCAAACGCTCCATCGTGAGGACCGTGTTGAAGATTGGACCTAATAATGGAAAGAAATTTTTTGTGTGTCCTCTTGGGAAGGCAAAACAGTGCAGTTTTTTCCAGTGGGCAGAAAACTGGCCAGGAATCAAAATTACTCCAGAATGCTAATATTCTCTCCTTCTGTACGATACCTGGCATTTAATGTCTTCAAACTGTGTATAATGTTTAGTCCCCTTTTGTTTAATGGAAAGGCTTTAGAATATCTATGGCACATTGTAAAGTTATTAAAGTATTTGAGAACTGTTCATTTCTTTTATGTGCGTCATCTTTCCATTCTGTGGCTGTGTATTTTTTTGCCTTGATGAATACTATATGTGTTTCACCAAAACACACATATGGTATATTTCTTTTTAGAATGTATATTTAATGCATTTAGTAATGACAATAAAGTATTTTCAGCGTGCTTCTCCTTGTTTCTTATAACATCTTTGGCAGTGATATTTTTTTAGAGGATTATGCATTACAATAATAGATTTTGTCTGTAATGAATAAGTTTCTCAGGTATTGCCACTGTTCATAATATATGATTGAATATATTTGTTTTCTTAAATGAAACTTAGGAGATGAGCTCTCCTTCAAGGAGAAGAATATTTTATTTTTTTATTTTAGTCAACAAACATCAAGTTCCTGTGAGATGCTAGAGGTGTGCTAAATACTTGTATAACTTCAAATGCATTTTCATGGAAAGCTGTGGGGATTCAGGATATAAAAGTAACATTTAGGAGCAGAAGAAGTCTGTATATCAAGAGAAATTGATTTACATTTTTCTAATCTTGATTTTATATCTATTTTAAAAATAAGTCAATTCCAAAAGCTTAATAATGTGCTATTATTTTTTATTTGTTTTTATTTATCTCTTTTAATCTTTCAAAATTATTCCAGGTAACTGTATAATTATTTCTTAAAAGCAAAACCTTAATCTTAAGGTATTTCTGCATGTTTATAGACAATTCCATCTATAGCTGGTTCAAGCTATTTAAAAAAATAAATAAATTTGGAAAGGACAGCATGGAAGATGGCTTGAGCCCCTTTCCCTTTCTGTCACTAAATTGTCCTTGCAGAGCTTTAGACGTTGATAGCATGTGAAGTCACCAGCAGTGACAGAGCGTATTTCATTGTCTTACCTGAACTCTGCGTCTTATTTGAACTCTACAGAGGAGGCAGAATCACAGCCAAGGTAATCCCAGTGATCTTAACCCAGAGAGCTCAACAGGGCGGTGACTGCACGTGTCAGACCAGGAACTGGGCCTGGCCACTGGTGATCCCAGTGGACCGGATGTGACGTACGTGGTGCGCCTTCAGGAACTGCACACTAAGTGTATGACAAGAAGGGACCAAGCCCCATGCAAGACGTGCTTCTGTGAGTTCCAGGCTCCAAAAATAAACAAATTAATTATAAGGAAATGTAGGCCAATGAGACACAATCAGTTTCAATATGACACATTAGGTAAGAAAGGTGCACAATTTACATGAAGAAAATTTAACTGAGAAGCGTCAAAGAACCAGATAGATGGACAAAAGAGGATCTTTCTTAGAAAGGATGAATGGTTAAAAAATGGCATTCTTCCAGACTTAATTGTTGAGAGTTAATAAAATTTCTCTTGAGAATCTCAAGTTTTCATGCCATTGTAGAGTAAGCTCAAACTGAGCTCAATTTTAGATTCTGGACAACTGGAGTAACTAGATTCTGCAAAAAATCCAAAGCAATATTGGAAGGTGAACAAAAGCAGGCATATTTTGGAGGGATGTAAAATTTGGAAGGAGAGGCCAGTAATTTTCCATTTTTTGCAGTTTTTTTATCCACGGGTAGAACAAAGTCAGTATCCAGCAGGCTGGCAAAACTTGGGCATGAAACACACAGTCCTTCTGGACTGAAGAGCCAGCGGACGGTCTGGGCAACCACAGCCTGTGGAGAGGGGGGAGACATTTGGAGACAGGGAGCTCCAAGTTCTGCGTTTAAGCTCTGCCCATCTCTGATGCCTGAACCACACACATGTGGGTGGGGCAGACTCAACCCAGTGCAGCCACAGATAAAAGAGCTGAACCAAAATTTGATGTGGCACCCGAAAGAATTTGCAGTTTGAATCCAGCCTTCAAATTAATCGCCTACTGAGCCCAAAACATCAACGCTGTGTGGAGGGGTATACCAAATCAGAGGACCACAGCATTCAGGATTTAATCCGAATCAGGCAACGTAAGAGGAACCATAATAACGTGAACCAGTTTCAGAGAAAAGACTGGCAAACCAGACTGACTTCAAGATGACCAAGATGTTGGCATTAGCAGATGCTTTTGGGTTAGCTACTGCATCTCTGCTCACTGAAGTAAATACTGAAGGGAAATGATGCCAGATGGGAATTCAAATCTTCAGGAAGCAATACAGAAAACCTGAAATGACAAATACCTAAATGAATGCAAAATAATTGCTTTTGTCTCTTAGTTTCTTTACAGTACATGGGCCTGTTTAAAGCAAAAAATTATAACATTGTCTTGTGAGATTTATAATATATGCAGATATTACAAACAGCATTGGCATGAGGGCAGAGAGGTCAAAGATGCTATATGATTGTGAGTTTTCTACATTTTATGTGAAGTGTGTTTTCACAGAATTTTACCAAGTATTGTGCATTGCACACAGTAGAAACTTGGTAAACATTTATTGAATTTAATACTTGAAGGTTTACTATGTCAATCTGTTGAACGTTTTTAACCTTGTTAACCACGATTCAAACTTGAATCCACTTAAATGCCTTTGAGAAGAATGTTGCTGACTTATTATAAAAGAAATTCCTCAGTGGCTAAGAGCTGTTAAATCTTCCTAGTAATTTAAATGAAAGTGTCTTTTTTTGCCATTGCACAGAAATTTGCTTCCAAATGGACAGGCCAAAACTAATTAGATCAAAAGATATGCATTCAATTGAAAAGGAAAGAAGATATAAAAATAATGCTGCCTCACTGCTACACTGTATTTAATAGATTATGGAGATGAAAAAATGTACTTCCCACAAAGCTCATGAGCTTAAACCTCTGCATTTTATAGGAAACCAAACCAACTGGTTTAAATAATGTGTTAGCTTTGAATTCAGTTAATCTCTTATGAGCACCTACTATGTGAAAAATTCAGTGATAGGCATTTTTAAAGAAAGCCTCGCTAATACACAAATGAGGTAGTGAATGATAAGGGATAATAGCCCTGTGAGCAAGCGTGGAAGGGTCTGGGGAAAGAGCTTACATCTGATTCCTGAGCTTCGGGAAAGAGCAGTTTAGAATTTCACCTTGATGAAGATGTGCATATGCACAAGGGCATTTCAGACAGTAGGCACAGCATAAGCAAATGGACCTAAAAGCAGCAGTCCAGGGAGTGTGGGGGGATAGCAAGTAGTCCTGTTTGGCTGGATCCCAGGGTATGTGAAGGAAAACACAGGAAGAGAAGAAACCTGTGAAAGGAGTACCAGTCCCACCTCACTGTTACAGATGGAGTCGCTAAGATGGGCTACTTCTGTCTTCTGGGG